AAAGAGCAGATGCTTAGCCGGGCGGTGGTGGCGCACGCCTTTAATCCCAGCACTCGGGAGGCAGAGCCAGGCGGATCTCTGTGAGTTCGAGGCCAGCCTGGGCTACCAAGTGAGTTCCAGGAGAGGCGCAAAGCTACACAGAGAAACCCTGTCTCGAAAAACCAAAAAAAAAAAAAAAAAAAAAGAGCAGATGCTTGCACCGATTCTGTAGATTTATATTGTGCTTAAATGGTTTTTAAGGCACATTCATGCTTTTGTATGAATAGGAATCACACAGAGAAGGGCAGCAGCAGCAAGTGATGGTCTTGTTTGTGCTTAGCCTTACCTTCACTCCCCTGTCTCACTACAGCAAGTTCAAAGCCATGTAATTGCTTCCACAAATATTCTAGGACGCCTGTCAAAGATAAAGACTCATTAAAAAGAGTAGCTCCAATCACACCACCATGCCTAAAAACACCTCCAACATAATCACCCAAACCAAATTTCCATAAGTAACTTCCAGTTATCTCATAAAAAAAAAACATGAATTATTTTTGTCTAGGAAAAAATATACTTGAAAAAATAAGGAAACTGTTAGTCTAGGGGGTAAATTGGTGTAACTTCCTTGGGGCTTTGTTTAGTGATACTATCAAAAGCCTTCACAAGCCGGGCGGTGGTGGCGCACGCCTTTAATCCCAGCACTCGGGAGGCAGAGCCAGGCGGATCTCTGTGAGTTCGAGGCCAGTCTGGGCTACCAAGTGAGTTCCAGGAGAGGCGCAAAGCTACACAGAGAAACCCTGTCTCGAAAAACCAAAAAAAAAAAAAAAAAAAAAAAAAAGCCTTCACAAATGCTTATCTTCTGCCCTGGCCATGCCATCCCAGGAATTTATATGAATAAAAAGAGGCCCAAAAGCATAGCTCAGCTGAGTACCCACTGTACCACACTGCATATGATGAAGGTGCTTGAACCAAATTTGCTGGAGATGAGTTACAGCGCTGTAGGTTGTGACTTTGTCTGTAAAAGAAAAACTAGAAGTAAAGGAGTGTCCAACTCAGCAACAAGATAGATCCCTAGTCGGAACACTGCTTTGCCATTAAAAATGGGAGCCTGTTATTGATGCTGTAGAGACTAGGGTACACCAAGGGTAGAGATGGAAGTCCTTTACAGAATGGAGAAAGGACAGAGAGCTCAAGTCCCGTAAGCTGTCACTTATCTGTGATGTGCATAATGACAAGGATTACCTCACTGTGATGGTCTTCTGTCCCAAACCCATAATCTCAGCCTCGTGAGACAAACGTCAGCCCAGCACAAATGAGGGCCATTCACAAACTACTTGAGTGCTATGCACTGTTCTCTGAGTATTCTTCATAGTTCCCCAGATACATGAGAGGTATACAAAGTTCCCTAGATCGTGAAAAGTGTGCACAGTTCCCTAGGTGCATGAGAGGTGTGCACAGTTCCCCAGATGCATGAGAGGTGTACACAGTTCCCCAAATGCATGAGCAGTGTGCACAGTTCCCCAGATGAATGAGAGGTGTGCACAGTTCCCCAGATGCATGAGGGGTGTGCACAGGTCCCCAGGTGCATGAGAGGTGTGCACAGTTCCCCGGATACATGAGAGGTGTGCACAGTTCCCTGGATACATGAGAGGTGTACACAGTTCCCTGGATACATGAGAGGTGTGCACAGTTACCCAGATGCATGAGAGGTGTGCACAATTTCCAAGAGGTGTGCCCAATCCCCAGATGCATGAGGTGTACACAGCTCCCCAGTTTCATGAGAGGTGTGCACAGTTCCCTGAACTACCTGAGCACCCTCTATCATTTTCCAAAAATGTCTTAGAACTCCACATAGTTTCTCAAATACCTGATTGCTGTACACAGTTCTCTCGAATGCTTGAGCACTCTTTATAGTTCTCAAAATACCCAAATGCTTTGCAAAGTTTCCCAAAATTCTTAAGTACCCTGAAAAGTTCCCCAAATACCTGAGAGCTATGTGTAGTTGCTCAAAATACCTGAGTGTTCTTAACAGTTCCCCAAGTGCCTGAGCACTCTGCACTGCTCCCAAAGTATCTGAATGCTCCTTATCATTCTCCAAACACCCGAGTGCTCTGCACCATTTCTAAAATATGAGAGTTTGCAGTTCTCACAAAAGTCCATGGACTCTACACAGTCCCCCCACACAACACAGAGCATGCTCGTTGCAGACTGTCCTGCTATAGGAAGCTGGTGTGCAGTGTTGAGGGCTGGTCTGATGGCTGAAGATGATAGCATCTGAGCAGCCCTGCTGAGTGACACCAGCACAGTGTGCCAGCAGAGTCAGAGCACAAGCAAAGGGTGTGAGGTAGAGATGAGCAAGTGAGCTCAAGGACAGAGGGTCGCTCAGGGGAGGAGGCCTTTAGGCCTTAATAGAAGGCTCTGCTTTATTTTTAAGAGCATCTGGAATCCATGTGGGGGGCTGTTACACACAGGTGTGGCTTTTAGCATCTGTGTAGGAGACAGACGTTGTGGGGCAGGAATGAAAGGAAGGAGAGACCTGTAATGATGAGGTTGGACTACAGAAAGGAACGTGGCTGAGATTTGGGGTTTACAGTAAGAGAGACACCAGTCATGCATACCCAAACCTCAGGATCATGAATCAGGCTGTGCGTGAGGCTCACTCGTCTGACCCCGACACTCCGTCCCTTCTTCTCTTGGTGACTAGGCACTAATCTGAGCACCTCTTCCTTAGTACACCAACCTGTCCCTGCCAGTGCCTGCCAGATCACAGAGAGTGGTTGCCAGGCGTCATGCGCTGCTCTGGGTCTGGTGTCTTTCCCAGGGCCTGGCCCTCACGCTCTCTGGGGCCTAAGACAGTCCTGACTAGTTGCTTTTGGCTAGCGGGAAGATATCATAGGCCATTTGGTGTTTTGTTAGCTTTGCCCACCAGGATGCTTTTCTGGGAGCTTGTGGGAAGGAGGGAGAGGAACACGACTAGGTTGCTCTGGCATTGGGGAACACTAAAAGAGATGAATTACTTCAGCTGCACCAAGAGGCTCTTGGTTTACGCTAAGGATGGTCATTTCTTTAAAAACAAACAAACAAACAAACAAACAAACAAACAAATAAAGCAGGTTGGTGGAGCCCAGTGGTAGAGCACTTGCTTAGCATATACTTGGTCCAATCCCCAGCACTGAAACCAAAACCAAAAAGCTGACACCCCAGCAATGAGGGGGTCCTCTAAAGCCCCCAAGAATGTGATGACCCACTCCTTGAGAGGCACAGCTGAAGCCTGCTGCCCCAAACCTAGAGGATTCTTTTCCTGGCACCCCAAGGGGAGACCTTTCTCCTCACCCAAGCCCCCTCCTCAGAGATGGCAGAGGTGGCCTATGCATTACATCTCACTCTAAAATCACCTTGTTTGCCCCCTGAATGCCAGTTCTACAAGGACAGGATGGTTATTCCGTCCCCCGGCGTCTGGCTGGAACCTGGTATATGCTAGAGGCTCCATAAGGCTTCGGTAGAGTAGGTGGGCATCTGCCCTCACACAGCAGCAAGGACACACCAGCCTCGCCAATCTGACTGCATGGTACTCTCCAGCATCCCAGATGAAGAGGGCCTTGCATGGAGACCCACCCCAAGGCAGGTATGTAAGGACACTTACTCATGAGTGCCGGCTGCATATGGCAGACTCAGAAGGGACTCTAGAGGACCAGAGTTTCCATATAGTCTGTAGGCACACCGCATTTCTACACACCAGCTCTCCAGTCCATGCACAGGTTTTGGTGTCCTCTGCCAGCCCCACCTTCATATCTGCACCTGCTCAGGCACAGTCTGCTAAAGAACATTTACCTGTTTGGAACAGGAACAGGCCCTGCTGCCCAGAGCCACAGAGGGAGTGAAGGAACCAAAGACAGCTGGAAATCATATTGGTGGTGGCCTCAGCTGGGCCCAGCCCTGGGCACACATGTGGCTCCACCCAGGTGGGGCCTTCGGACCTGCCCTTCTAGGTGATTTTTGTCATGCCTGGGCTAACATCAGCTGGGTGTACTTGGGCAGCCTGGAGAGAAAAGCCTTGCTGCCTGGCTGGTGAGGACTTCTTCCTGACTGGCCCCACCCAGAGGTGAGTCAGCCCAGGTTGAGCAATGCTGAGTGGGAGTCAATCCAGCTGCCCCTCATAGCTGCTGGTAGAGTGAGGGGCTCCAGGAATAACCACCAGAGTACAAGTCTCCACAGAACCTCACTGCCACGAGTGCATGGGCATGACTTTCACCACTACATACGACAAAGACAACCTCTGTCCTGTGTGTCCATTTCAGGCCTGAGCTAAGCACCAAGCCCTTTTGTCCTCACGGTGACTTTCTGGCTAGGAAGCAGTGGCACTACCTTCAGTATGCAGAAAAGAAGCCGAAGCTAGAGGAACGTGTCCCCGTACACAGAGTCAGCTGTCAGGAGCTGGGAGCCACAGTTAGCTTGGTCGCACGACATCCTAGTTCTTAAGCACACCCAGCAGCTCACAGAGTCGGAGATGGATAGTGAGCAGAAGGATAGAGGCATCTGGGTCCTGCTCCAGCTGGGTCTGACTCTTGCAGTGACCTTGGCTGAGTCACCGGGTCTCACTGGGCTTCATTTTCATCTCTGTAAAAGGGGGGATGGTGGCACATATCCATCCCAGCCCCACAGGCTACACTGGGACAGGAGTAAAGCCAAGTCCTGGCTGAAAGTGTCAGGCCCTGCACCTTTGGTGTGTCTGCCCTACACGTCTATTCTGCGTGGTATACGCTCATCTCTTCCCCTCCGTTAGAAGCTCCTGTCTTGTAAGAGACCATGACAGAAATGATCTGCTCCTTCGTCGTCCTCATAGTTCCAACTCTTTTCTCAAAAGAGTCTTTATCAAGCCAGTCATGGTGTCATATGCCTTAGGCCCAGCACTCAGAAGGCAGAGGCAGGTGGATCTCTGTGAGTTCGAGGCTAGCTAGAGCTACATAGTCTGTAAATTTGAGGCCGGTCCTGATCTCAAAAGAATTTTTTTTTCCTCCTAGGGTGTGGCTCTGTGGTAGAAACCAGCCTGTGAGAGGCCCTGCAGAGGAAGAAAAGCAAGAAAAGTCAGTACAACCACAGAGAGGAAGCTCAGGCCAGACACCAAAGGGCACCATTAATACATGGACGAGAGCTTCAAGGGAGAGGAATGTCTGGGACTCCATGCCAGCCACCATGGCCACTTTGGGGATTTGGGATGATGGGTGTGTTCTATCTCCATCGCATGGTCAGTGTCTTCGTGAGCACTACACTTCAAGTGTAGGCTTGTGTGAGACCAAACACCATTTTTAAATGAGGATGTCTAGAAAAAACACACGCATGAGTGGGAAAGGCAGGCGTGAATGGGTATGGTGGGTGAGTGGGAAAGGCGGGTGTGAGTGGGTATGGCAGGTGTGAGTAGGAAAGGCAAGTGTGAGTGGGAAAGGCAGGTGTGAGTGGGTATGGCAGGTGTGAGTGGATATGGCAGATGTGAGTGGAAAAGGCAGGTGTGAGTGGGTATGGCAGGTGTGAGTGGGAAAGGCAGGTGTGAGTGGGTATGGCAGGTGTGAGTGGGAAAGGCAGGTGTGAGTGGGAAAGGCAGGTGTGAGTGGGAAAGGCAGGTGTGAGTGGGTATGGCGGGTGTGAGTGGGAAAGGCGGGTGTGAGTGGGAATGGCGGGTGTGAGTGGGAATGGTAGTACCATAAGAACAGCAAGAGGACTGTGGAGAGGAAGGGCAGGACATCTAGCACTTAGCACCAAGTCCAGAGCACGGGATTCTTCAATAATTGACAGCTGCTGTCACTAATGAGTGACGCTGGGAACCACAAATATTTGCTAAGCACTCTGTGTGCCAGATACCCTGCTGGGCTCTAGAGAGAAAACAGCCCTGGATCCTTTGCCTGCAGGGTTGACCTTCTAGCTCCTCCTCTCCACCATCAAATGTTCACCAGGACAAACCCAAAGCTGCACATCTGGTAGACACCTTGGCTGGGGCCCGGGCTGCTTCTCCTCAGGCTGTCTGTCCTCTCGTGATGATTCAGAGGTCCTGGCCACACCCAGACCCCCTCCCCAATGCCCAGAAAGTTAAGCTTTCCTTCTGCCATTCTCTCATTGGACTTCCTAGGATTGTCCCACTCCGACAACGTGCTCAACACCAGCATCTTTGTCTCAACATTTGATTCAAGGAGCCCTCACCTGAGACAGTTGGCACTGGGCAAGCACGGTCTAGGGGCAGTGGGGAGGGCAATGAGGGCACAGGCCCATGTAGGGTGGGAAGCCTGTTATGCTCAGGAGGTGCAGGAGCAGCAAAGGGTGCCTTGGACTTCACTGTACCCTGGATCTCCAAGACGCTCCTGGCTGCCCTCCTCAGTCCTGAGTGGACAGTCACCTTGGAGAGAGGAGACCCACTCACGACGACTCCTTGGCAGACCTGTGCATCTGATGTTGCTACTCCTGCCTGCCATGAGTACCCGTTTCACCTCTAGCCTTGCAGAGGCTAACTGCCTCTAGGCAGCGAACTGAAGCTCTGAGCTGAGTGTTCCTTCCAGGAGCTATTGTAGGTGGTTACTGACACCCCCAGGCCTGTCCTTACGGCCTCCAGGGCCATATAGGCTTTTATGAAATGTGGCCCTGGGAACCATAAGACACAGAGCTGGGCCGGGTGGCGGTGGCTCATGCTTTTAATCCCAGCACGTGGAAGGCAGGCAGAGGCAGGCAGATCTCTGTGAGTTCAAGGCCAGCCTTGTCTACAGAGTGAGTTCCAGGACAGGCTCCAAAGCTACACAGAGAAACCCTGTCTCTAAACACACACACACACACACACACACACACACAAAGATACAGAGCTGGGTCAAATCAGGATCTGGGGAGCAGGTGACAGAGGTCCATCAGAGGGGTTTAACAGCCAAGAATGCTCGCAAGACCCTGCTTCTGCCTATGAATGTAACATATTTTACTTATTCATTACTTGCTGTGTACACACACACATATACATATGTACACATATATATGCACACATATATGTACACACACATATATACATATGTACACATATATACACACATATATGTACACACATATATACATATGTACACATATATATGCACACATATATGTACACACACATATATATACTTATGTACACATATATACACACACACATATGTACACACATACATACATATGTACACATATATATGCACACATATATGTACACACACACACATATATATATATATACTTATGTACACATATATACACACATAAATATGTTGAGATAGGGTCTCACTATGTAGCTCTGGCTAATATGGAGCTCACTATGTAGACTAGACCAGGCTAGCCTCCAACTCAGAGGTCCACCTGCCTCTGCCTCCTCCTGAGTGTTAGGGTTAAAGCTGTGTGTCATCACACCTGGCAGATTTCATATTTTAATGTTAGCAAATATATTTGCAAATGTATGTTGAAGGACTCCAGGCACGGTGGCATCCACCTGTAATACCAGCACTCAGAATGCTGAGGTTGGAGAGATGCACTGAGTAAGTTTCAGATCAGCCTGGGCAAGAAAATAAGACCCCGCCTGAAAAAAAAATTTCAAAATTAAAAAAAAATGATACTAGACATCAGAGCAGACAGAATGCATATCGAGACATTGAAGGGAGATAATGAGTTGTTGACGTGCAAAAGGAAGAGATGGGCCTAGTCCTAAAGAGAGGGGGAAAAACGATTCCAGAGTCTTTCCCCCGACTTCCTGTTCTCCTGAGAGAGCCATATAAGCAGGGACATTGCCCAAGCTTTGATCTATGAGGCTGCATTCTGTCTGATGCCTTCTTGTCTATATTCCCAGTAGGCCAATGCTTAGCTAAGGTATGGGATGTTTCCTGAGAGCAGAAGGGTCTGCACCCTTCCCCCCCTTAGCCTAACCACTTTCCCCAGCCACTGCAGCCAACCACAGGATCCTCTTCGACTGACTTTGGTGACCTGCCACATACACTGAAGAGGAACTCCCTCCCTCCCATGCTAACCGCTGGGATGGGTGTTTGAGTCACCTCTCGCTTGAGAGATAGATAGCTTGGTGCCTACCCAAAAGCTCAGAGGTTAAACATGTTTGGGGGCCATGGTGTGGGCTACGCTGTCACCTCCATTTATCCACTGTGGACCTGTGCTTTATATTCAGAATTGTGTTCAGTCCTCCGGACAGCTACAGAAAGGGGACTGTGAGTCATACCTACCAACGGGTGGAGAGGTGAAACACGGGCCAAAGGTCCCAAGACCTGAACTTGGACATGTTCTGCAACTGCTGCTGACACCCTCCTGGTAAACTTGACAGAATATTCTTGGACTGTGGGGCTTGCTGTGACCCAGAGCCATCACGTTTCTCTTATCTGTGAGGCTGTGTGGAAGGCACCTTCTGACTGACTAGTTCACGGGCCCCTGTATATATGTTTGCTTGGCATGTCAGTAGGCCATCAGCATAGAGGCAGATATCTGTTTTCTGTAGGCCATCAGCACAGAGGCAGATATCTGTTTTCTGTAGGCCATCAGCATAGAGGCAGAGATCTGTTTTCTGTAGGTCATCAGCATAGAGGCAGATATCTGTTTTCTGTAGGCCATCAGCATAGAGGCAGAGATCTGTTTTCTGTAGGCCATCAGCATAGAGGCAGATATCTGTTTTCTGTAGGCCATCAGCATAGAGGCAGAGATCTGTTTTCTGTAGGCCATCAGCATAGAGGCAGATATCTGTTTTCTGTAGGCCATCAGCACAGAGGCAGATACCTGTTTTCTCCCAGCCCCTCTGGACTTCCCCCTGCTGTCATCTACGACAATGACTTAGCTGTCAAGGACTGTGCCCTGCTGATGCCATTTGGAGCACTGTAGCCACAACGCAACATTAGTCTAGAGAAGAAGCCGTTTCAGACTTCTCTATGGGCTGGAAATGTGGAGATCAGGCTTTCTCACACCATTTACTGCCTGGGCTATGCCAGCCTTGGACCATCTTCCCCAAGGCCCTGCCTGGCACTGCACCAGCCAGTCCTGTCTGTGCCTTGGGTGTATATGGAGGTATGCCCTTCTCTGTAACAATGTTCAGAAGCAGCCAAGATTGGGGTGTGTGGCAGACCCAGACTCCCTGCCTACAAGACTGGTATTTTTTCCTACAGTCTTTGCAGAATGAGACTATGTAGCTCCCCTGCTACAGCTTGGGTGCTTGTGGCATTGTTGAAATGCCAGGAAGGGCTGGCACCCCTGCTGCTAGTGGCCTAACAGCCACTGCCCGCCTCCTGGCAGCCCTGAGCTATGTGCTGAGCAGGTGGCCCTTCCCACTTAATCTGAGTCCCAAGAATGTTGTCATCTGTTCGCCCAGGGCCTTATCAGTGTGGCCTTTCTTACGGTGGCTGGGACAAAGGGTGTGGGCGTCCTCAAGACTCTGGGGGATTCTGGGAATGCATCTTTGCCGCCCCAAATTCCAGCTGTCCCAGCTGTATGGAATTCTCATTCATCTCCCTGCTGAAGTGATTTGAGACCTATAGTGGGGCTGGGACACAGCTCAGTTCCTAACTTCTGTTAGTGTGCATGGAGAGTCATTTAGGGTCTTCTTACCATTTCTGCTTCCCGGATTCCCTTACCAATGAGAAGGAAGTTCTAGCTCTGAATCACTCAGACACCTAAGAACTGAGCATATAGCATCAAGAGATGGAGTGACCTAGTAAGCAGGACTATGTTCTTCATGTCTCAGCCCTTCCTAACAGAGGTGCCCTGTGGGACACCAGACCCATTTTTCCAAAGATGCAAAAATAAATTTAAAATTTTTTTTTTTAAATCTGTATTTCTATGGGAAAACTACTGGTTTTCAAATGTTGGCAATGAATTCAAATTTTAAAAACTCAAATTTTCAGCCAGATGAAGCACATCTGTGGGCCAGATGCAGGCTGGGAATTGCCAGGTTATGACACTGACTCTCAGCCTGTCTCGACAAAAGGGTACAGCCCACCCTTAAATCTAGGACGCCGCAGCCTCTCCCCTTGTGGCGCTGCAGCCACAGGCTGGAGGTGACAGAACACTGGCTAAGGAGCTGCAGGTCAGGCTCTGACCTCTGCTTGCTGGGGCTTGTTAGGAAGAACTCCGAGGACTGTTTAGTTTCAGTGTAGGAGCACCCACAGGTTAAACAAGCCAGCTGGGTGGCTGCTGGGGAGCAGGAGGAAGGAGCTGAGATCAGAGGGAGGCGTCAGCCCCAAGGTCATACCACACAGCCTGCGAGACAGGGTCACAGTGGCCACAGAAGAGACTCAGCTCACTTGTTTGTTCTGCCCCTCACTCTTCAGTTCTACAGCGTCCTGCCATTGGCTGATGTCTAGAGTTGGAGAGACCTGGAGGTAGGTGATGACTGAACACTGCAGTCCTTTAGTGCTTGTGGGACTGGCTGTAGCGCCCCATGCAGACATTCAAACTCACAGATGCTCAAAGACCCCATGCACCTGCTCTCGTGGACTTGAAAGTTCCCCTCGGCTGTGCATGACACCCAGTATAATGTAAATCGCTGTATCATTTAGGAAGTAATGGCATAAAAAGTCTCTTGTATTTAACACAGACATCGTTTTTGGGAAATTTTTCTCTTTTTCTCATTTTCCTACTCCATTTCCTTCCTTCTTACGGATACAATGTATCATGTGTCCCAAGCTAGCCTGGAACTCAATATGTGGCAGAGTGAATGAATGGCCCTTGAGGTCCTCATCTTGTGTCCACCTCTTGGATGCTGGGTTAGAGGTATGCATCATTTTATGCAGTACTAGTGATGAAACCCAGGACTTCATTCATGCTGGGGCAAGTGCTCTACCAGCTAAGCTACATCCTCAGCCCTGTCTAACCCTGTAGCCCAAGGTAGCCTTGAATTCAATCTGCCGTCCGGACAGGCTTTGAATTCATGGCGATCCTTTGGCTGTTCCTCAGTGCTGCCTCCCCTGACCATTTGCCCCTCTGTTCTTGGCCCAGTTGCTGCATTCCGCATCACTTCTTCACGTTCTAGCCCCTTGTGGCCCCATATCCCTCACAATTCACTTGCTTCTAATTGGCCTTCCTCTGGAAAGCCAGAGCTTGACTATGGACAGTAGATCCCTCTGTGTCCCGTGTTCTCAGCCCCAGCCCGATATGCTACATACCAGCCTGTTCCAGATTTACGAATGAATTCTGGAATCCAGCTTGGCGTCTTACAAAGGCCAAGCAAGGATTTCCTCCCTCCCGGGGTGTGGCCTCGGACAGACCGGGAAGGAACTCTGTATATTGAGGCATCTGGATTGGGAAAGTCACTGTGGCCCTTGCCTGATACTACCTGCCTCTGAGTGAGGATTGTGGTCCCTCAGGCTCTGCACTGGCTGGACAGGTTTCCCAGCTGGCTCGGCAGGATTGCTGGGACAGGACTCCGCCTCTGTGGCAGAGAAGTCTGTCAGGTCACTTGTGGGCTACCTACCATGTAAAGCCTAGTGGATCCAAATAAGGGCCCCTTGGCTGTCTCTATGAGGACTATAGCCCAGTTCCTCTGGTCATTTATGCAACCATTCCTGCCACATCTGTGCACAGAGTGCCTGTTTGGGGTCCCAACCTTCTGCAAGCTGCTGTTGGACTGTCTGGTAGTCAGGAAGGGGCTGAAGAGTCGGGTGGGGTGCACCTGGTAGAACTTGTCCAGACAGCAGTTTTCCCAGCCCAAGCCTAGGTGGGTTGGGAAAGTCTAGGGTCCAGAGACTGACAGGGGTGACCAGGAAGGTGACAGGAAGACAAGGAGACAACAGTGCAGGAGCGAGCTAGTGAACACAGGGCCTTCTGGGGACCTTCCTTCTCATTTTTCCTGGTAGCATTCTCCACCCTGAGCCCCTCCTGTACAGTTGTGTGTGTGTGTGTGTGTGTGTGTGTGTGTGTGTGTGTGTGTGTGTGTGTGTATGTGTGTGTGCGCGTGTGCGCGCGCGCGCGCGGTTTCCCACCATGAGGAAATCTTGCTGAAAGAATGTGTGGGCACTTGCCAGTTCTCAGCCCGTTTGTATCGTTAACATGGTGTAGTAGTTACTTTTCCATTTCTTTGATAACACAGCCTGACCAAAAGCAACTTCCTAGAAGGAAGAGTTCATCGGTGCTTACGGTTCCAGAAAGACAAGGTCTATCGTGGCGGAAACACGGCAGCAAGTGACAGGCACAGTGGCGGGAGCGAGAAGCTAAGAGCTCACCTCTCCACCACGAGTATAAAGCAGAGAATGTGAACTGGAAATTGCTCAAGGCTTTTCATCTCAAAGCCCACCTCCAGCGACACACTTCCTCCAGCAAGGCTGCACCACAGAAGCCTTCCCAGACAGCGCCACCTACTGGAGACAAAAAATTAATACACATGCCTTTTGATCGGGAAAAAAGCATTTATCCCACAAGGACACTTTGCATATTGCCTGTGACAAGCTAGTATATGGATATTTATTACAGAATGATTTTCTTGTAGTAGCGAGAAAATTGGTGGAAACAAACCCCCACCAATAGAGGTGGGTAATATTCACGGTAATGTATCCAGTAATGAACGCTGCATAAAAGCCAAATAGAAAGAGGAAGGTTTATAATCTGGGGCCTGAAATAGCCTAGATGTACTATTAAGTGGAAAGGACAGAAGACTAACTACATGTGCTCGTTGCTTAAAGCCTCAGTGTCTTGTCTTTTTGTTGGGACTATTCCCATCTGTCTTGTGGCTACTGTCCTTGCTGGGTACATTCTGAGTCCTTATGCCACTCCCTGTGTGCTTCTGGCCTAAATATGCGCTTGCTTCCACCGTGCACACCAGTGACTCTCTCCAGGATGGTCACTGTCCTCCCAGGCTCCCTTGATTCTACTACCTGCAGGGCTGGGCAGGGCCACCATCCCCAGACAGACCCTTGCTTGATGACAGGCCAGGAGAAGAGGATGGAAACCCAGTAGCTCAGGCTGGGGTGTCGCCGTGGGACTTGCCCTCTAGGGCCACCCCAGGGAGCAATGGAGCCCTGTTCTGCAGGACTGTGTCTTGTGTGGCCCCTCTCCCACTGGATCTCCATTCTCTTGCCTGTTTCCTTGGGCACATATCCTAAAGGAGTTGCTGCCTCACAAATTCTGTTATAATTTCAAGAGAGATCCAGTGTCTGCTTTCCGCAGCATAGAGTCCAACAAACTCTTGGCCCAATTAGTTCCATGGAAGAAAGCAAGAGCCCCTCTCTAAATACAAATTCAGAGAAGAGGAGGAAAGAAAATCAGCTATGTCCTCTCCCATCCCCATTGCTCCAACCTGCAAGCAGGTTCTGAGTGCAGGCGTAAGGCAGGGCAGGGCGTAGTCAGTCTTACCAATTGGGTGAGGGAACAGAGGCTCAGTGAGGATCAGTTAGAAGTGGTGGATGATGAGGGCTGGAGAGATGGCTCAGTAGTTAAGAGCACTGGCTGCTCTTCCAGAAAACCAGGGTTCAATTCCCAGCACCCACATGGCAGCTCATAACTGCTTGTAACCAGTTTCAGGGGATCTGACACCTCCACACAGACATACATGCAGGCAAAATGCAAATGCACATGAAAAAAATAAGTGGTGGATGATTCCATTACCAGAGAGACCAGCTCCGTGTCAAACTCATACTCACGCTCCAAGAACGAGGAACAAGGGAATCTTCAGAGCAGGCTAAGGAAGGGAAGATCGTTGACTTTTCTAAAAGATTCTCCTTTGCAACCATCTCTTCACAAGCACACATCCCACTTTTGGATGACTCCTGGGACCAGAAGTGGGCTCAGAGGAAAGCTGAGCCTCGGGAGCAGCAGCGCCCTGGGGGAATGGGAAGGGACCTGCTTCTGGCTTTGCTTCTATGCTGCTTTGGGAACGCCCACTTGGCTCAGCCTCCTCAGCTGCTGGGTTCTTCATCGGGGTTAGAACTGTGGATGGCTGGGGGGCACAGGTACGGATCATAGGAAAGACAGACTGCCTTTCAATCCTGTTCTCTTCCACTTGCTGTATGACCCCCCCCTCCCCATTCCTAGCCCAGCATTTGTGTCCTGGTGTCCAGCTGATGAAAGAAAAGAAGAAAGAGTCTGTGAAGCCAGTCCCAGCTGAGGTCACTACCTGGAAACAACCCATCTGTGAAAGGAAGAGCCTGAAGACCGAGGAAGTGTGGCCTTCCCAGCCTACCACACACCAGCTCTGGTACACCTCCACAAAGCCTGGAACCTCCTACAACAGGGAAACCTTCTGTATTCTTGTCTGTGGAAACTAGTTTTCAACACTCTAGGATGTAATGCTTTCCCCCAGACCCAGGGCCATCCACAGGGCCACCAAGAGGATCCCTGCCTCTCTCCACAGGGCAGGTCACTTGGGCAGCCATAGAGCCCCTGAATTCCTGAACATACCACAGAAATCGGAAACAAAGTGGCTTACGTTCCTCATAGAAGTTTTAGAAACACAGAAAAATACACAGGGAGATAGCCCGTCACTTAGAAATACTCACCTTCTCCCCAACATTTTAGAACAAATTTCAAATATAGAGAACAGTTGAAGGAATTGTACCAAGAATTCCCATTACATCATCTAGATCCCGGAAGACTCTCGTTCTCCCTCTGTGGCCCCCAGCTTTGTCCATCTCCGCAGGACTCTGCTCACCGTTGACTTGTTTTTCTCCTGTGCCCATGGCTTGATGCACATGAAGCACAGTGACGAAAGAGTGCTTGGTACTCTGTCTCCTTACACACACGTCGGTTCCCTGTGTTGGGAGCCTGTGAACTCTCCAATTAAAAAAAAAAGGTTTATTTATTTCTTACCTATTTTATGTGTATGTGCTGTACAATATTATTTTAAGGTGTGTTACTCTTGTTTATGTTGCATTTGTTTAACTCTGTGAAGCTGTGTTACTCTGCCTGTCTAAAACATCTGATGGTCTAATAAAAAACTGAACAACCAATGGCAAGGCAGGAGAAAGGATAGGCGGGGCTGGCAGGCAGAGAGAATATACAGGAGAAATCTTGGAGGAAAAGAAGAAGTAGCCAGAGAAGGAGGAGGACCCAGGGGCCAGCCAGCCAGCTACACAGCAAGCCATGGAGTAAGAGTAAGATTTACAGAAGTAAGAAAATGTGAAAAGCCCAGAGGTAAACGATAGATGGGGCTAATTTAAAGTTAAGGAAAGCTGGCAAGAAACAAGCTGAGCTAAGGCCAGGCATTTATAAATAAGAATAAGCCTCCATGTGTGATTTATTTGGGAGCTGGGTGATGGGCCCCCCAAAAGAGCAAAAACAAACAACAACATGTATGTACCTGAGTATATATACATGCAGAAGCCTGTGGAAGCCATTGACTCTCTTGAAGTTACAGGTAGTTTAGCTATGAACTGTCCCATGTGGTGCTGGAAACTGAACCCAAGTCCTCTGCAAGAGCAAATGCTCTTAACCACTGAGCCACCTCTCCAGCCCCATTCTCTTCTCTTTTTTGAAATACGTGATAAATCGTGAATAGTTTCCTGGTTAAGGGTGGGACTTTGGGGCCACCTTCCCTTCTCAGTGCTGGGATTTTGAGTGGTTTGAACTTGGGTAGGATTTGTGCATGCTGTCACAGTGTCTGGGAGTTAATGTGTGTCAGTCCTGTTGTGTCTGGATGATGTTTCCTCGGAGTCCTCATCATCTCTGTCTCTTACAATCTTTCTGTCGCCTCTTCCTCATAGACCTGTAAGCCTTGAATGGAGGGGTTTGGAGGGAAAATCGGTTTCCTTTAATGCAGTATCACTAGGTATATGGACCACACTCCAGGGCAGGCCCCATGCCCAGAAGGCTTTGCTAACACAAAGCTGACTATGTTTTTGTATTGTGTGCTTTTTGTTTTGTTTTGTACTTTTTTTGGTTGTTGTTTGTTTTGTTTTGACCTTTGGGAAGGTGTTTTTGTTTTTATTTTGAGAGAGAAAAAGAACATGAAGTTGGGAGGGTAGGGAGCTGGGAAGGATCTGACAGGAGTTGAGGGGAGGGGAATAATGTGATGAAAATACATTGTATGTAACTTTTTAAATAAGAAAAGAAAAAAGCATAATAAATGGTGAACTGCAATCACCTTTCTATGCTGCAGAGTACTGGATCTTACCCCTCCTGAGCAACTGTGCCTTGGCCTCTTTCTCTCTCTACCTGAGCAACTGGTACCCAGCCCCTTCCCTCTCTACCCTCCATTGTATCATTTCCACAAATTTCAGAATAGATTAAGACCATCAACGTGTATTTCTCCAAGTACTTCAACATGAATTTTTACTAATTAGAGGGAAACAATATCTTTAAAATCTTTTATGATGTAGAAGTTCAGATGCACAAATTGAAGAGACTGAGACAATAATGAACACCTTGGTTTAGGGTTAGGGTTAGATGAACCCGTCATCTGGTGTCAGAATGGCCACAGTTTTTCAGTCTTGCTTCCTATACCTTGTCACTTTTCTTTTTCCTGGTGAAAATAAAAATCACATCATCCTAAAAGAAAGTTTTTTTTTTTTTTTTTTTGGTTTTTCGAGACAGGGTTTCTCTGTGTAGCTTTGCGCCTTTCCTGGAACTCGCTTTGGAGACCAGGCTGCCCTCGAACTCACAGAGATCCGCCTGGCTCTGCCTCCCGAGTTGTGGGATTAAAGGCGTGCGCCACCACCGCCCGGCATAAAAGAAAGTTTTAATCCAAACCTTAAAAGTTGCATGCTCGGGTGGCGGTGGCGCACACCTTTAATCCCAGCACTCAGGAGGCAGAGCCAGGCGGATCTCTGTGAGTTTGAGGCCAGTCTGGTCTACAGAGCAAGATCCAGGACAGGCACCAAAACTACACAGAGAAACCCTGTCTCAAAAAACAAAAAACAAACAAACAAACAAAAAATTGCATGTTGTTGCAACCATAGGGTTGGTAGAGTGTGGCACTATGCTGGTGCTGAACTGCCTGGACACTGAAAAACTATTTCAGAGGTAGCACGATCAAAACTAGTATATGTGAGACCAATTATTTACAAGCAAACCCGAATGCACTGGGTGAGAATAGCCGTATACACATGTACTGTTACAGACACAGACGTAAATGTAATATTAAAGCAGGACCCACAGATGTATGACATCTGTACTCATGAAAACACTACACAAAAGACACAAGGTTGTACCACCACACCACTGTGCATGGATGTACTAGCAGAGCAGATCATGCCCTCATTGTATGAAAACACTACACAGTTGCGTGTTTGCAAAAACCGATGTCCTACAGCAGCAGCCTAAACAGATGCACAGTTACAACAAAGCAGATGAAGATACGTATATTGCTCTGTACACAACAGAACTGGAACAGCAGAGCCTACGTCTTTAGAAGTACAGCAGTACACTGAGATGGACATGTATATAGGAAAAACAAGGGATGCTCCAGCAGAAAGCATGGGTGTTCTAGTCATATACCACACGCAGATGTACAGTAACAGAAGCAATAAAAGATTTACTAGAAAGCAGCACACACATCACACACACATGTAATGATAAAAAAGGCCTCGTGGAGGTAGGACATCTGCATTCCTATCGTACTATTGTACAGGAGACAGAAGGCTGCACCACCACATCATTGGACATAAATATACTAGCGGAACAGCTTACACCCTCTTAGTACAAAACAAACAAAAACCCTACACATTTGAGTCTTTGCAAAACCCGATGTTCCACTGCTGCAGCATAAACAGATGTGCACTCACAGCAGAGCAGATGGAGTACTTGTACTGCGCTGAATGTCCTGGACTAACACAGCAGCACATATGGTTTTAGGAGTACAGCAGTGCACTGAGATAGACAGATACACAGGAAAAGTCAGTATCGCTCCAGCAGCAAGTGTGGTTGTCCTAGCCATGCACCGCACCCAGACGTACTCTAAGAGAAGTGATCACAGACTTACCAAAAAGAGTCACACATGATCATCTTAGTACAGCAGTGTACCTTGGTGTTAAAAAGAAAAACTGGTTCACAGGTTGAGCAATTCAAACTAATGCCCTCATATCTGTGAGATGTCCTCATGTCTGTGAGACCAAGTATTTAGAAGCACATCCCAATGCTTTGTATGAGGACAGCCATCCACACATGTATTGTTACAGAAATACACAGAAACGTAATCCTAAAGCAGGTCTCATGGATGTAAGACATCTGCAGGCTTGCAGCTACTGTATAGCACATATAAGGATGTTCTACCACATCAATGGACATGAATGTCCTAGCAGCCCATATCCTCTTCTCATGGAAAGATTACACAGTCGAATGTTTGCAAAAACTGAAGTCCTCCTACTAGAGAGTAAACAGAGGTGCGTTGATAGGAAAGCTCTAAGCTCTAAGCTCTAAGCTCTAAGCACGCCCGAACTAGAGCCACAGCACATGCGTTTTGATGAGTACAGCAGCACACCAAGACAGACACATACATAGGAAAAATAAACCTAGAGCATCAAGAACAGTTATAGTATTCACAAAGCAAACACAGATGTCCTACAACAAAAGAGATAAGACATTTACTAAAAAGCAGCATTCTTGTGAATTTTATTACATCAGTGCACTGGACATTTAAGAATAGTTCAGAGGTCAAGTATTTCAAACTGATGTCCTGGCACCTGTGAGACCAAGTGTTTTCAAGTGCATCTGAATGTGTCATATGAGAACAGCATAGACGCCTGTTACAGAAACGCACACAAATGTAAAAGTAAAGCTGAGCTCAGGGATGCTGGATGTCTGCAATCATGGACCTACTGCACAGGAGACACAAGGCTGTGCTGCCACACCAGTGCATATCAATGTGCTAACAGAACAGCTTGTACCCCTTTTTGTAGAAAAAAAATTACACATTTACAAGTTTTCAAAACCTGTTGCTGCAGCATAAACAGATGTGCATTTGCAACAAAGCAGACGGAGGTACTTGTACTGCTCTGATCATGCTGAACTAGAATAGCAGGCCATATGTTATTAGGACTACAGCAGAGCATCGAGATGGACCTGTACACGGGGGGAGGTGGGGGGAGTCAAGCTACAGCAGCAAGAACGGTTGTACTAGTTATACACCACACACATACACTGGAACCGAACTGATAAGCGATTTATTAGCAAGCAGCACACATGAGAATATTATTATAGCAGCACACCTGGATGTTGAAGAACCAGTTCAGAGGTAGAACAATTCAAACTGTTATCCTGTGATCTGTGAGACCAAGCATCTACAAGCACATCTGAACACACTGGAGGAGAACAGCTATACACTGATACACTGTTACCATGAAATCATCCAGGTGAGATAATTATTCACAATCATGATGATTAAGTTAATTAAAAGTTTGGAGTCCTTTTTTATTAATGGCCAGACCAAGAGCAGCCTGTGCCACTGCAAAGTCTCTTGGTGCCCAAGGTCAGTTGTACAGCATTTTAAAAGACAAAGCCACAATTACATGAGTGCTTGATGTGGGGGTTACATTAGTGAAGGCTTTGGAGTGGCCTAGAAACATCTCCTTTCTTTACAACGCTCAGTAGTATATTCCAGACACTACATAATATGTTTGGACCATGGTCAAGTTCATGGACTGTCTCCAAAAGCATTGCCAAGGTCGTTGGGGGATGGAAGGCTGAGAAGCGTCTAGGCAGACACAAAATAAAGTTGGCACAGGCATGAGATGGCATTTTCTTAGTCATTTCATCCCTCTCCACCCCATATTTTGTTACTTTCAAATCTTCCAATCTTGGCTAAGGGGTGAATATTGGGTCCTGAGGATCATTAGCTTAACTGAGGCAATTCTTTGATGAACTTTAAAAGGCAATTTACTATCCAAGCCCTATAAAAAGGAGGAGTAAGGGCCATTCAGGCCTGTGAGGAGGGTTGTAAACCATGGGTTTGAATCAAACATTTTATGGTACCAGGAATTATTGTTGTCTCTTATCTAAATTATCTTTAATCTTTTGTAAAGTTTCTTTTTAATGTTTTTATAATCCTGTGAGTTTTTAGAAAGCATTCTCCCCAAGCCTGTCAGAAGGTAACTTTATCCTTGATTGTGAGAAGGTTTAAGAGTTTTATGCTGGGCGGTGGTGGTACACACCTTGCGTGCCTTTAATCCCAGCACTCGTGAGGCAGAGGCCCTGGTTCTCTGAGTTTGAGGCCAGTCTGGTCTACAGAGTGAGTTCCAGGACAGCCAGAGATACAGAGAAACCCTCACTCAAAAAAAACAAAAAAACAAAACAAAGAAACAGAAGAAAGTTTTATGAGATCAATTTTAAACATAGGCTCATTTTAAATACAGTCTATAGTTTGTTTTTTTTTTTGTTTTTTTTTTTTTTTTTTTTTGGTTTTTCGAGACAGGGTTTCTCTGTGTAGCTTTGCGCCTTTCCTGGAACTCACTTGGTAGCCCAGGCTGGCCTCGAACTCACAGAGATCCGCCTGGCTCTGCCTCCCGAGTGCTGGGATTAAAGGCGTGCGCCACCACCGCCCGGCTAGATACAGTCTATATTTTAAGTGTAAATGTAAATGTCAGGATTTTCACAGTGTGGAAGGCAGTTAGAGTAAAGGAATAAGTAAATGGTCTAGCCTTCCTGAGAGGGAATATATAACCAAACAAGAGTCCTGTTTGCAAGACAGTCTTAGCTTGAGAGGACTTGGTCCAGGTGAGCTGGTTTCCATTTCTGGTCTGCAACTGACTTGTCATGGGAGTGATGAATCCACGCAGGGATCCTGTCAACCTGGACTGCAGTCAGTCAGCGTTGTCGTCAGGATGATAGTGTGAGGTCCAGGAAGGTGTCAGTTCTTTCTTCTGAAACTTTTTGATGTATGCTTGGCCCCCAGGTCAGAATGAATGACAAGGCACCGAGGAAGGAACCGGAATGGTGTCCCGAACCCTACAATGAACTACAGTCTGGACCTATTGAAGAGGCTAGTGATACTTCAGAAAAACTAGTTAGTAATGTTGCCAATGATGGTCTCTTAAACAGGGTGAGGGATGAGGGGAGGGCTCTTAAACATAATCTCATAGGGAGGAATCCTCCCTTCCAAGGGGTTATAGCTTGCCCTAAGAAGGGTCAGGGGTAAAAGGTTGGGCCAATTTCCACCAGTATTTAAAATTAATTTAGAGGGGGTGGGCTTAATAGTCAAGTTCACACATTTGGCTTGTTCAGAGCTCTGAGGTCTGTACATGCAGTGCGACTTTCAGGTTACATCTAAGACCTACTGACGCTTGGGGCTATAGATGAGGTAAAGGCAGGTCCATTATCTGACTCAGTTGACAGGACAGCCGGAACCTAGGAACAATCTGATGTAACAGAGTTCTGACCACTCTCAGAGCGGTCTCCCTCGGGGTACCAAAGGCTCTTCCCCACCCTGGCAAGGTGTCCACAAGCATAACAGATACTTAGACT